CTTCTCACTAGAAGCAGCGCCCCCCTTGAAAGACCAGCGCCACACAGGCCTGCCACTCTGGCGGGGGCCCCGGGTTGAAAAGGAACCGCCTTGAGTCATTCTGGCGCCAAAGCAGGAGTGCGGGTACAGTGGGGCAGTGGGGGCCCGACCACAAGAGACCTTCCACAGGAAACCCAACCCTGAGGCCCCAGGACGTCCATGGATTTTTGGCGTGAAAGCGTCACGCTGTCCGTTGCAAAAACATCGAAACCCGAAAAAACCCAGGGCACCCTGGAGGCAAGCAGGGTATTTCTTGGCATGGGTCCCCACTGTGTTTCCGCCACCATCCGCCGCCCTTCCGCCGGCTTCCGCTGGCGGAGGCGGCCTCACTATACTTCCGCCGCCCTTCCGCCGCGGAAGAGATGACAGCTCCTTCGACCCTCCAAGGCAAGGCCATTTTTGGAACGCCTCCAATGTGGCCATCAACTTCGACGGAGCCTCCAACGATAGCACCGCCAACTTCCATGTCTGACTCAGCTGGAACAGTTAACGACGAATGTGCGCGGCATTCAGGCGAGAGCAAATTCGGAAACGTCCCTCGCGGCCCTGCCAGCCACTGCGGGAGACCTGGACCAGAGGATGAAGCGCGCCAGGGAGTCTGAACCAGGACCTTCGTCCTGAGATGTTCGAGGCGCCACTAAAAGATCCCCTCTGTCTGTTCTGATCCACGCAAGACGAATGTGGTCGAATCCCAAGACTGACGAGTGCCCGCAACCCCCTCCTGTAGGCATGCGAACCACCCGCGTGAATAGTTCACGAAACGCCAACACCCGCAAACATGTCCAGAACCAGAAATGGCATGGCACCAAAAGGAACGACCGCTTTTCACAAAACAACAACCCAACGCATCGGAGGCGCACACGCTGCTGCAATATAAAAGCCTTAAACCTTGCCGTCGCGATCCAGCCGCGAGTTTCCACGGGCTGCCAAGATTCGGCGAATGGTGCCGAGGCGCCGAAGGGACGGAAGAGGCTAATCCTGGACACTTCCTCGAACGCAAGATGGACTGCCAAGTGCAGAGATGTGTTACGAGACGCGTGGGCTGCTCCTTCTCAACATGAAGCGCCTAAGCCGTGCAATGGCACGCTTGCGAGTTGGTTAGGTGACGAGCTGAAGCCAGGTGACTAGCACACTCTTGTCCTTGCTGCACTATCAAGTCCAGATTCGCCTGGCTAAGTTGGGACCCCTTCTATGTCACAACGCTGCAGGAAGAAAGAGGGAGGAGGCAAGAACCAGAAAGAGCATGACGCGGAAAACGACGACGACAACGACGAAGACAGGGAGGAGGAGGAGGAAGACCAATGCAAACCCAAGACTCATCAACGATGTTGGAAGAAACCCTCACTCCAAGCTCCCTCTTCGGAGGCCACTACATACGGTTCATGCTCACTGAGGAAAGTGCCCCGTTTGGTGACAACCGTTTCAAGATCCAGACGCGTACCAAAGCAATGTCCTCGGGACTCCAACGCCACGGATCGACCTGACGGCTGCGTCTTAACGATCCCGAATCGTGCCAGAACACCATTCTTAAGACTTCAACACCACGAATCAATGCAACCATTGCGCCCTGGCAGTCCTGAATCGTTCCAAAAGACCATGCCTGGTACGTCGACCACGAGAACCAATGACATTCTTGCAACCTGTTTAAACAAATGCGCTCGGCGCCTAGGCGAGAACACCATCTTGAAAAAGAACCGCCGTCAATCCGTGAAGCCCTGAATGCTTTTGCAAACGAATGTGCGCGGCGCGATTGCGAGAACCACATCTTGAGAAGGAACCACTCTCCATCCGTGAAGCTCGTGCGAATGTTCAAAACGAATGCGCGGGGTGCTGAGGCGAGAGCCACAAGTTGAAAACCGACCGCGTTCGATTCGTAAAACTCTTGCAAGTGTTTAGAACCCGTGAGCGCTGCGCTAAGGCGAGACGCACATTTTGCAAACCACCCGCCCTCAACCCGTGAAACTGCTGCAATTGTGTAAGACGGATGTGCGTGGCGCTCATGCGAGAGCTACATGTTGCGAACTACCCACCCTCCATGTGCGAAGCTGTTGCCAATGTTTAAGTTGCAGGGTCATACCTGGTGAGGAAATCTCCTGCGGAACGCTCGGCCCGCCCTTTCGACTGGCCTCGGGTTGCCACAGGGAGGAATTATTCATGAGGAAGGGGAATGGAGCAGGAGCAGGAACCACCTGGCCGGCTTCTGGCAGCTGCCCGCCGGCCTCCGCGGAGGACGGGATATCGACACCCAGACCCCCGAGGTCATGATGTTTTCATGACGCGACCCCCAGAGTTAGGTCGGGCATGTCCTCCTACAGGGGGGCTTTGGAGAAAAACAAATTTTGTTTTAAAGAAACACATGAACAAAAATAATAGAAAGAATACCAACAAATCGTCCCCAGACGATCTGAACTGTTTTTAGCGGTCCAGAGGCCCGGTGAGGGCCCCCAGAGGCCGAAAATAATGAAAAACCTCCCGTCGCGACTTCTGTCACAGCGCGAGGGGGTCTCGACCCCCGACCCCTCTCGGGTCGGGCGAAAGGGGGGGATAGCAAAGGGGGGTTTGAGAATCAACTCACGTGGCTGATTTTCCCGGCGCCTCCGGGCGCCGGAGGCGGCTATGTATCGAGGAATGGGCCCCCCCAAGGTGAGGCCGAAACCAGCTGCATGCATGCAGCACATTTCGTAAACCCCCCCTTTCCCAATCCCCCCCTTTCGTCCGGCCCGACCCTCCCAGGCGAACCCCCCCCTTCGACACGCCCTATACGTCCTCGCGGTCGCCGGCGTCGCGGGCGCGGGCGCGCACGCGCGAGAGGCGGCCGGGCCGCACCCGTCACCCCGCGGCCGTGGCGACCGCGGGCTCGTCGGCGGGCGGGCCTGGCGCGGGCCCGCGACGAGCAGGCCGGTGGCCCGCCAAAGGTCTTCGCCCTCCAGGAGCAGGGGGGAAGAGACGGGGGCGAGGAGGACCGCCTCCTCCGCCACCCCCCTACCCCGCTCTCCTGCGCCCCTCCTCCTCAGGCTCCTCCAGCTCGCCCTCCTCCTAAGGGGGGGGATCAACGAGGCGGACGATGTGGAGGAGCACCAGGAGAAGGAGGAGGGGAAAAAGGATGGAGGAGGGATGAGATGGATCCGGACTGAAAAGAGCGGAAGGAGGACAAGGAGGCTGAATAGAAAGGGGATAGACAGGAGAGGGGGCGGGGGGAGGTTGGGGAAACACAACAAAGAGTGTTATAACAAAACAAACATTTTAGTCAAAGGAGAGCACGAGACATCGTCCCCTGCTCGAATTTTCCTCCTGCAGATGCCCGGCTTAAGGCTAGAGCTAGCATGGCTACGGGTATGTGTGTGTGTGTGTGAACCCAGACATGCGTCGTCATGTTTTTTTTCAGGACGGCGTCCCTGGAAGTCCCGACCCTTTCCCCGGGACCGGTTTTCCATCCGGAGTCGTTTTTTGACGGTCCCGAGGCCCGGCGAGGCCCCCCCGAGGCCGCAAACTGGCAAAAGCCTCGCGCCCGGATTTTTGTACGACGCGAGCATGTCTGGGAATGTGCTTTCGTGTCTTGGCCCTTGGGCGCCCTGGCGCCCAGGGGCCTCGACGGTCCGCGCCGTCCGCTCCCAGGGCCCATGGCGGAGCCGCCGCCTCGCGGGCCAGGGCCGCGGGGGGGCGCGCCGCGCCGGAGGGTGGCGGCGCTCCGAGGCGCCAGCTCCAGGGCCCAACGGGGCCCACATCACACCTCGGAAGGGGCCTCTCATCGGGAGCGGCCAAGAGGGGGGTGTCCAAGAGGGGGGGGTGCAAATCATGACCGGCGGCATGTGCGCGGCCCAGCGGGGGGGCCTGGGACGTAATGAAATAGGAAGAGGCGCCATGAAATCTGCGGAGATATCAGGGCCCGCGCCATGATGTCCACCTCCCAGTCATCACCCCCCTCTTTTCCGCCCCCGATCTCAAGCTTTCGCCAGGCCTGCGCAGTGTCCACAAGAGCAGGCACGCAGCCGAGCACAGGAGGGCGTGCAGGCAGCCGCGGAGCTCGGGCGGACATGCAGACGCAAGGCGCGGACGATGCTGCCAAGCCCTAGGAGAGCAGAGCATGGACAGCGCGAGCACCAAATCTGCAAGTGGCCGGGGAGCCCCCGCGGCGCCGCGGCACAATAAGAGGGTGGGGGCAACAGAAACGTAGTCCCTGAGATCCGACGGCGCAAGAATGGAGACATCGCGGAAATGGCGACCTACCAAACCATCCCAACCCAACCCGAAGACCCGAATTTCAGGTTGGGGGGGTATAGGGTTCCATGTGTTTTTTCCAATGTTCCCCGATCCCCCCCCCACTGGACATGGAGGGTAGAGTTGTGCCTTCGGGCTAGGCTGGGGTGGCCTGGGAGGTGGTGAGAAAAGTCACATCCAGAGCCCGAGACCCCATCGCTCTGCGTCATCTCTCGAGCTGGATCGACACGTGAGGGCCCTGGTGCCCGAGACCACACGAGAACGACGGGCTCGAGAAATCGAGACGCCAGGATCTCAGGGGGGCCGCGCTGCAGAGGGAGCGCCCCAAGGCGCGGGACCCAGGGCACAGCCGAACGCGCCGCGCCTGGGAGCGATGCCGGCACCACTCGCGGTGCAGCCGACGCGGCCAGCGCCTCGGGGGCCAGACCAGCACCCGACACCTCGCACTCAGGGCGCCTGCTGCAACCGGGCCTTCCCTGTCTTGGAGTCGCGGGGGGGGCCCGCGTTCCCGTCCCTGGCCCATGGGGTTGTTGATGCCATGACAGTGGGCACTCTAACAACCCTATCATTGAATTAAACAAGTGTTTAAGATGTTTGAGAAATGTTAGAACACATGAAATACATGCTTTTGAATGTTTAAGACATGCTTTAATTGTTCTTGTGGAACATCTGGAAGTTATGTGGCAACATGCTTCCTCTCCATTGATCGTCGTCCACAACCATGGGGCACAGAGAGACCTCTGCTAATGCGCACTTCCTGGCCCAGCAGGCTCGCGCGGAGTCGCGGGGAAGACCCCCCCGCTCCCGCCCCCGAGCCATGAGACATACAGAAGCTTCGACGATGCCCACCTCTTGGTCCAGCGATGTTGCGCGGAGTCGGAGGGTCCGTGTGATCACTTGGAAGACTTACACCGTGGCCGAAGATGCCGTCGGACAGGGCCGCGTTGTCCGCCGGGCCGTTGTGCTTCATGTGCCCTTGGCACTCCTGCGAGGGCAACGCCCGCTTGATCTTGGAGGTGTGGGAGGCGACCTTAGCGACCTGGTGTCCTCCATCCTGGCCCAGACCTCCGACCAGATGCGCGCGCATGGCCTCGCGGCGGAGCAGCACCATGCCCTGCCTCAGGCCACGCCTCCGACAACGTCTCTGTAGTTGTCGCATTCGACCTAGACGAGGGTCTCCCTGAAGTTGGCGCGCAGCTCGCTGCCGCACTGCTAATGGCAATGCTGCGAGTTGCTCGTGCCTAGGCCACACAGCTAGCACGAGCCTGACGTTCTGTCTCCGCGGGCTTGACGGGTTTGCTGCACAGGTAGCACTCGATGCGGCTTTTGAAGTTCCACTTGTAGGAGCAGCCCGCGCAGCGCAATGCGCAAATACTCTGCACCGCCCTCCACGGTGTTCTTACCAGCATTACACCAGCTCCTTTGCCGCCTGCTTTGCAGTCCTTGGATGGAACTCCCCGTCGGGCCGCCATGAGGTGGAGAGTCAGGGCCGCGTTGGGCTTGCCATGGCGAATTGAACATGGCTCCTTCGCGAGCGCGTGAAAGAAACCCAAATCAGCCGCGGACTATCGGAATTCACTCGGTTCACCTGAGAAACCTGCATCTGGAGCCGGAATGGCTACGTGTGTGTGTGTGTGTGTGCGCGAGGAAGTGAATGTGTGTGTGTTTTTGCGCGTGTGTGTACGTGCGTGACTGAGTAGGACCGTGAGTGAGAGCGTGTGCGTATGGGAAAGTGTTGAATGTGCTGGCTGATGGTGATGAATGGTGGTGATGACTGCTGCTGATGATGGTGGTGGGAATTGTTGGTGATGGTGCCGATGATGGTGGTGATGATAATTATGTTTATGATGCTGCTGATGATAATGGCGATGATGATGATGATGATGATGATGGTGATGATGATGATGATGATGATGATGATGATGGTGATGGTGATGATGATAATGTGGGGGTGTCCTGGTCCGTCCTGCTCCTGCCCTTAGGATGTCGGGTGCAGCCTTTTACTAAACCATCGAAGCTGCGTCGCATGTCAGATGCTGACATGAGAAACGTTGTGCTAAGGCAAATCCCCTATTTCAGACAGCATGCATGGCAGCATACATTGGCGCATGAATTCCAAAATAAGTTACTGAATATACGTATAACATGTTTTCAGGCGATACGTATCGTCCTGGGCAGTCCTCTTCTGGGAGCCAAGCTGCCCACTAGGCGCCCGATTTTTGCATCGGTGATTGGAGTAGCCACGCCGGTGGCCTACTCATCGCAGATGTCATTGCAAGTGCTCCCTTCCACACGCGTCTGGCCTTGTCAGGGGGTGGACGGCCGCTGACGTAATCCTGAGGTTCGATTGCCGCCCAGAATACTACCAACACAATTTTGAAAACGTATAAGGCATGCAAGGTTGATGGGGCGATTCGGCACTGCTCGAACGTTGCCTTCTGGAGCTCGACCCCATCCCTGGGATCGTTGCTTCCACGCGCGTTGCTTGTTGACTGCTTATGGCCCCCGAGCGCCGAAATCGGACAGAACGCCGGTCGTGTTTCTTCCGCGGCGCCCAGAGTTCAGGGGAGTAAGCTGTTCGCACCCTCAAGCGACCTGAGGAGAGGCGGATCCCCTAAATCCGCGGGCCACGCAACAGAGGTCTCCCTGGGGGTAAAATTCTTCATCCTGCAGCCGTGCTTGATTGCCCTGGGGCTCGATAGCGGCCCCCGAACGCCGAAGTCTGGGAACGGCCCCTGAGGTCCAACGTTTCGGAACAAAAATGCAACACCGCGAAAAATCACACGACCGGAGCCCCAGACCCCATCTTCCTGCATCCTTTTTCGAGCCGCATCGGTCTGTGAGGGCCCTGGGGCCCGAAATTGAAAGCGAAAACGCCCGTTGCGAACAAAATGCTACGCCAGGGTCTCAGTTGAGCCGTGACCGATCGTCTCGGCACTCCTATTGCACCAAATGTTCTGAGAACCTCAGAGTGTTTGAAGAATAAAAAACCAATGTTCTTAGAACGCAAGCCCGCTGCATAACACCAGACAGCAGTCGCAGCCAGACATGTTCTGAGAACACTTCGTGCAGACCACATCAAGTTTTTAGGGCATTCTTTGGTGGGCCCATGGGCGAGCCAAGACCACTTGCCACTGCTTGGCCCCGAGAACGCCGAGATCGGGCACACCAAGAGCAACCCAACGCCGCAGGCCCGGGACGGGAGCCGGCCCCCCGCCTGGCCCGAGCTGCGGGCCTGGGCAAAAACGCCAGGGTCTCAGGGTGGCAGAAGGCCCCTGGCGACGACGACGACGACGACGACGACGAGGGCTCGGGCTTCCAGCGCCCCCCCAAGCGAGGACGACGACGGCGACGACGACAAACCAGAGGAAACCGACGTTCAAGGTCCGGGGCAAGGCCAGGATCTCAGGGGACCCAGACCCCCGACGTCATGTTTTTTTCATTACGCGACCCCCGAAAAGGTCCGGACCCCTTCGCTGGGACTGGTTTTCCATTCCGAGTCGTTTCTTGACGGCCCCGAGGGCCGGTAAGGGCCCCCAGGGGCCGAAACTAGCGAGAAACCTCCCGCTGTGATTATTTTGTCACGACCCGAGAAGGTGTCTACATCTCCGGGGACGCCGAGATCGGACAGACCCAACGAAGCCGACGCCAACAGTTAAGTCGGGCCTGTTCCCCTTACAGGGGGATTTTGGACGAAAAATTCAAAATACCCCAGAAATAATCTAAAAATAATCCAAAAATAGTCTCCGGACTATTTTTTTAGTATGTTTACCTTTTTGGGCATTTGTTTTTTATATTTTTCGTCGAAAATCCCCCTGTAGGGGGACACGCCCGACTTCAGTCAAAAGGTCCGGGACGGGAGCCGCCCCTCCGCGCGGGGCCGCCCTGCGGGCCCACTGGGCCCGCCTCGGAGAGGCGCCGCGCCCGCGGCTGCCGGCCCGGCCGCGCAGCTTCGAGCACGGCCAGCGGGGCTCGGGCTTCCGGCGCCCCCCCGGCGACGACGACGAAGACGACGACGACGACGACGACGACGACGGCGACGACGACAAACGAAACGGAACAGGCGTCAAAGGTCCGAGGAGGAGGGGGGAGGAGGAGGAGGAGGAGAAGGACGAGGAGGAGGGGCAGGAGAAAACGGATGATGATGAAGGGGAGGAGGAGGAGGAGGAGGAGGAGGAGGAGGAGGAGGAGAAGGAAGAATGAGGAGGAGGAGGAGGCGGAGGAGGAAAATAAGGAAAAGGAGGAAAAGGAGGAGGGGGAGGAGGGGGAGGAGGAGGCGGAGAGGAGGAGGGGGATGGGGAGGAAGGGGGAGGAGGAGGAGGAGATTGAGATTGAGATCCCCATTGCGAATGCAAGTCTTGTACCGATTAAAGCTGCTCCCCTTTGCTGCCGCCTTGGGTCGGCCTTGCCAAGGGTCTTAGGAGGAAGACCAGCTTCTATACGGCGGGAGTATTCACGAACTGTACGCGTGGGAAGGGTATTACATGGCTTCCCCAAAGAACACAGCTGTTTGTCAGCTATGGCCCCACACGAGCCGCCAAACCAAATTTGGAGAACACAGTGGTAGTTAAGGAAGTGGGTTGGACGCAGTCAGCCCCCCGCAACATGAATCCGACCCCCGACTGGAGGGGAGAACGCGGTGCCGTTAACATTCACAAGACCGAACACCTGGAGGCCTTCCATTCTTCGAAGCTGGAAGCGGAGGCCAATCCACAACATCTGAGGTCACGACGCTGACACTCCGAGAGCCTGTGAGCCGAGAGCAAGCAGGAGAGGTCAGCAGCAGCGGGGCGGGGCGGGATTGAGGGAGGAGGGGGTTCCCCCTCACTTTCCTATCCCTGGCCTCGGCAGCTTTGTCTTGCTCGGCTTTAGAGGAAGCGAGGGTAGCACGCAGGAGCCTCATTCGGACCAACATGGCCCTTTGCTCTTGAAGATTGATCTCCTGACGGAAAGTGGCAGGCGCCCGTGCTATCTGGGCGGCGGCATCAGCCAAATGATCGGCGACAGCGTTGGCAACAACGAGTGCACTACGCGACTTACCAACCGCAGTGTCGTGTTCCGACTGGTGACTGTGTGTGAAAATGACAGAAATGAGATATGGTGGCCGACCGATTAACACATCACGAAATTTACCCCAAAGATCGGCATCGGGCCCGCTGGGCTGGTCAAATTTACGGGAACACCAGCCCGCAGCGAGGGGTCCAAAATCGGTTATATGCACCAGGTGTCGTGCTCTACATTCTAAAGCCAAAAGAAAAGCTCGGATTTCACCTCTGGCCACGACTTGGCGGGCGCCGCGTAGGGGGCCCAACGCAGACGCCTTCAAAGACAGAGGCACTAAGGAGTGAAAACAAGCTATCGCTAAACCTACACGTCGGAGCCTGGGCAGTTATGACTCGGGCCCTCCCGACGCATCACCCGAAACAATAAGGGGCTCACCTCGGGTTCCCTTACGAAGACAGCCCGCGTACACCCCATCGAGGTTATTAAGACTCCAGTGGTCTTCTTGAGGAGGCTCTGGGGCCCACGTCCATCGGAGCGGCAGGAGGCCTCGGAGCCAGGAGCCCTCATCACTATCACGCTGAGCAAGGGCGGCGCCGATGAGATGGGCGCTGGCCTCATAGGCTGGTGACCCTTGGTTCTTCTCGCACTCCCAGAACCGATGGCGAAGGGTCTCGGGCGCTTGTCCGCACCTGTCGCAGCGCACCTCGCCCTGGTAGCGGGCAAGCTGCTGGTGGCGCCGCGCCTTGGGCCGGCATCCTCCTGCTGCCACCGCCAGCATCGTCTCCGCAACCTGGTGGCCATGATGGGGAGTGCTCCAGTTGGCGCAGCAGGCGCTGGTACGAATCCATGTCGACGCTTCGCTCCAGTCCAGTGTCTGCGTAGTGGTGGCATCCCGTGGTCCACCTGGCCCGAGCTGCCGACGCCTCGAAGTCACGCAAAAAATGATCATGCACATCGCGGTGCGGATCGCCCGTGTAGCTTGCGCCTGGGAACTCCCATTGTTCCCACCCTCCATCAGTGGTCGAGTATCGCCACTGGTTGGGTTGGTGTGGGTCCCATCCTGCACGCATGAGAGTCAAGGCAACAGCTGCAATAGGGCCTCGAACGTTACGTGATTGCTCAGCCGCAGGCAAAGACTGCATCTTCGTATCTGTGCGGGACCACGCCGCGGTCATACCTCGTCGTAAGTTGGGGTGGTTCCTCCAAGACTTCAGCCAGAGATCGACCAACTGAACGGGGAGTCGGATCGCTAGGCCGCGTCCTGGATCATTCAAGTCAAACACCGTGGTTAATCAGCGGCCTCGGCTGGCATTCGAGCAGGCCTGAGCCAGCCGTCTCCGCACCAATTGTAATGTCGCCCAAAGGCTCCATGGAGCTGGCGG